AAAGACATGGGGTCTCCCTTTCATACATTTTTTTTTTTTTGCTTTTTGGGTCATACCTGGCGATGCACAGAGGTTATTCCTGGCTCTGCACTCAGGAGTTACTCCTGGCGGTGCTCAGGGGAGACCATAAGGGATGCTGGGAATCAAACCCGGGTCGGCTGCGTGCAAGGCAAATGCCCTACCCAATGTGCTGTGTCTCCAGCCGCACCCTTTCAAACTTTAATAATCTCTCTCTTGATGGCAACACAGTCTCATGGTGCCCTCAAAGGCATAGTGTTTTCTCACTTTTTAAATTTAAATCAATGGGTTTTTTGTTTGTTTTGGATGTGGGGGCCACACCCAGTGGGGCAGAGGGCTGACTCCTGGCTCTTTGCTCAGGAATCACTCTGCACAGGGCTCGTGGGCCTTCATGTGGTACTAGAGATTGAATCTGGACTGGCTGTGTGCCAGCCAAGCATCTTAATCCCTGTGCAGTCCATGCTCTCTATTTCTCTGATTCACATTCCCTGAGATGAGGTTAGGCTGATGGACACTTGGATTAAGGTGCACGTCTGGCATGCAGCTGACCCCTCTTCATTTCCTGTGGTCCCTGAATGTTGCCAGGTGCGGCTCTGGAAACCTCTAGTCTCTGGAGTGGCCCATGTGATCCCCAGTACCAAAGGTCCCAAGCATCACCACATCCTTATGCCCTGACATTGATCCACTTGCCCAGTTGGCTAAGAAGCATCCCTGGGACCCCGGAGCACTATTTGGGAACTCCCATCCCCCAGTCTCTAAATGGACGGAAGTTGAGGTGATAAGGCTAATAAACAAGGAAGTGAAATACAGTTCTCCAGATGATTTCACTCATGTGGGAAATATTAACAAATCTAACAAATTAGCAAGAAAACCAAACTAACTCCTAAAATCCATGGAAACTATGGTACTAACCAGAGGGAGAGGGTGGGAGAATGAGGGACTGGAATAATAGCACAGCAGGTAGGGCATTTGCCTTGCATGCGGCTGACCCGGGTTCGATTCCCACCATCCCATATGGTCCCCTGAGCACCACCAGGAGTAATTCCTGAGCAAGAGCCAGGAGTAACCCCCTGTGCATTGCCGGGTATGACCCAAAAAGAGAAAAAAAAAAAGGTGGGAGAATGAGTAAAGAAAGAGGCTACTTTGGTGGTAGGAATGGTGAGTTCTACACATGTAGAGAAATACTAAACTATATTCATGAAATTATGTAATGTTGTAAAATAATGAAAAATCAGAGAGAAGATGAGAGTGATAACAGATCTGTATTGTTCCCTGTGCAGTGGTACCTCTTGGCATTCTTCACTTTGCCTCTTTTTGAAGGGCCAGTGTTAGGGGGGATTGGACCACACCTGGCTGTGCTAAGAACTTACTCCTGGTTCTGTACTAAAAAGAATCACTCCTGGTGGCCTTGGGGGACTATATGGGGTGCTGGGGATAGAATCTGGGGTGACTGCATGCACAGCAGGTGCTCTACCCACTGAACTGTTGCTCCACCCCTGCCCCTTGTCTCTTTCTTTACTTTTACAAACCTATATGGACTCCCTTGACTTCCTTGGTAGCTTCTGATTATAAAAAATATTATTTAGGCACTGTGATTTATATAGATGTCAGTAATAGAGTTTTAGGCATAAAATATTCTAATTTTAATCCCACTACCAGTGTTCGCATCCCTCCACCAATGTCCCCCACGTTCCCTCCTCCCCTCCCGAGTTCCCAACTTACCTCTTAACAGAGACATTTTTTGGTTTAATTGCTGTAATTTGCTCTCATGCTTACATTTTTGTCCGCTCTAGTGATTTAGAGATTCACGAACACCTGCCTGACATCACTGTTGTGCCCGAGACCCCTGCCTCTATGTTGCCTACAGCCTTCCCCACACCTGCCCCTTTGTCACCTCCAGTCCAGCCTTCCTTCCCTCCCGTCCCTCACCCCATTATCTGTTGATTGGCAGTTATGGGTTTCGTTCCTCCTCCCTTGGCATCACCTTGTGCTGGATACCCTCTCTCAAGTTCCTGTGTTATTTCCAATCAACTGGTCTGTAATCCAGTATACAAGATGTATATATGGACTCTCTTGACTTCCTTGGTAGCTTCTGATTATAAAAAATATTATTTTTTTATACATTGTACAATGTACAATGGGCTGGAGTGATAGCACAGCGGTAGGGTGTTTGCCTTGCACGCAGCCAACATGGCCGACCCGAGTTCGATTCCTCCGCCCCTCTCGGAGAGCCCAGCAAGCTACCGAGAGTATCTCGCCCGCACGGCAGAGCCTGGCAAGCTCCCCGTGACGTATTCGATATGCCAGACACAGTAACAACAAAGTCTCCAATGGAGATGTTACTGGGCCCGCTCGAGCTAATCAATGAACAACGGGAGGACAGTGACAGTGACAATGTACAATGGGCTGGAGCGATAGCACTGCGGTAGGGCGTTTGCCTTACAAGCAGCCAAAATGGCCAACCCGAGTTCGATTCCTCCGCCTCTGTCGGAGAGCCCAGCAAGCTACCGAGAGTATCTCTCCTGCAGGGCAGAGCCTGGCAAGCTACCCGTGACATATTTGATATGCCAAATACAGTAACAACAAGTCTCATGATGGAGACGTTACTGGGCCCGCTTGAGCAAATCGATGAACAACGGGAGGACCGTGACCGTGACCGTGTACAATACTGTTGATTGGTATTGTTCACACCCTTGATTTGTTTCCTCTATGTACCATAGATGAGTGAAATCATCCTGTATTTGACCTTCTGCCTCTGAGTTATTTCACTCAGCACAATGCCCTCTAATTCCATCTAAGTTGCTGTGAACTGCATGACTTTGTATCTTTCTTTATTTTTAGTCGCTGCATAGTATATGTACCACAGGTTATTTATCCATTCATCTGTTGTTGGACATTTAGGTTGTGGTAGCTTCCTCCTGTATTGTGTAATCTCTGTTCTGAAATGGATCCTGTGGAAATAATAAACTGTTATTTTATTCATTGTCTCTTTTTTGTTTGGGGACCACACCCAGCAATGCTCAGGCCTTACTTCTGACTATATACTCAGGAATTACTCGTGGTGATGGCCCAGGGGGACCATATGGGATGCCAGGGATTGAGTCTGAATTGGTCATGTGCAAGGCAAACGTTCTACCCACTGTACTACATAGCTCCTGCAACTCATTCATAGTCTCTAACAATGCTCGTAAGTGTGGTTCTGTACAAAGTTCTACAACTCTGATTTTATTTCTGTGGGTTGCTGCTCCCATTCTCTTTATTGAGCTCACCCATGATCCACCACATTATTTAGTACATTCTCCTGACTTCTCTGCTAGATATTACTCAACAACTACAGCTTCTGCCAAGTTCTCTCCAGATATAGTGATATGCATTTAGTTACAAAACCCCAACCCAGTGTTCAGATGCTGAGAAACTGTGTACTGGGCAGCCTCAGCCTATATTCACACACGCTGACAGAGTGGACCAGCAACACACGACCTCAACCAGGTTCCTCGCTGTAGGAGAATCTCACAGCACAGGTCCTGACATTTAACATCCACAATACTTGAGTGATTGTAGCAAGAACTCTCAAACTGCTTCCCCAGTATTAATACTATTGCACTGTAGCACTGTCCCCCCGTTGTTCATCGATTTGCTTGAGCAGGCACCAGTAATGTCTCCATTGTGAGACTTGTTGTTACTGGTTTTGGCATATTGAACATGCCATGGGGAGCTTGCCAGGCTCTACCATGCAGGCGGATACTCTCCGTAACTTGCCAGGCTCTCTGAGAGGGATGGAGGAATCGAACCCTGGTCGGCTGTGTGCAAGGCAAATGCCCTACCCACTGTGCTTTCTCTCCAGCCTATTAATACTGTCATTGTATCACTGTAGATTTACTTGAGTGGGCGCCAGTAACGTCTCCATTCCTCCCAGCCCTGAGATTTTAGCTGCCTCTTCTTACTCATCTTTTCCCAACGATTGGAGGCTCTTTCAGGGTCAGGGGAATGAGACCTGTTATCGTTACTGGTTTTGACATATTGAATACACCATGGGGAGCTTGCCAGACTCTGCTGTGTGGGTGGGATACTCTCGGTAGCTTTCCAGGCTCTCCGAGAAGCATATATTTACACATTTCTCTCTATGATTAATACTACATGAGAAATTAATAGACTGTCCCCATCTAAAAGAGCTTATGGTTTAATAAACTTAGAAAACGAATGTTTTAACTTTATTTTTGTTTTGGGGGTCATGCCCGGAGGTGCTTAGGAGTTATTCCTGGTTCTGCATGCAGGAATCACTCCTGAGGATCTTTAGGGGATCATGTAGGGGGCCAGGGATCTAATCTCGACTGAGGCAAGGCAAGCCATACCCACTGTACTGTATGGCTCCAGCCCCACATATCAATTTTAAATGGTGTGTGTGTGTGTGTGTGTGTGTTTTCTAAATGACATGCAAGCTTTTCAAGGGACCCCTGTTAGAGATAGTATCATTCTTTTTACACAATATGGAAAATGCTGGTTCAAGGATAACTGAATCCACTCTCTTTCCAAAGACCAAGGGACACATTGAAGTTATTCATCCTGTTTATGTGGGAAATAGCCTTTTGAAGAAGAAATAAGCTGTGTTTGTACCCAATGCTGAGTTATTGGCTTTCTGATAGGTGTATATTCTGTGAAATTTACTGTCTAGGGCCCTAAAACCCTTCTCATCTTCCAGACGTTTTTCTTCTGAGCTCCAGGCCCCATATAACCTGCTGAATTGTAGGAGTGCCCAGCAGATCAAATGCAGAGACTACTGCACTCATAAAGACATTCCCCATCTTTGTTCCTTAGAATTTCCACTCCTGCCACTCCCCCAGATCCCTGAGATAACTTGAATTCCACACTCCCAGAGAAGTTCGTACCTATGACTCTTGTTTTCCTGGCTTTCGTCTCTGTCTCCTGACACTTGTTACTTCTCCTTGACAGTCTGCATTAATATCTTCTCTGTTTCTTTGTAGCCTGCAAAAGAAAAGAGCAAGAACACGGGAAGGATAGAGGCAATACACCCAAGAAGCCCAGGCTAGTGTTCACCGATGTCCAGCGTCGAACTCTACATGCAATATTCAAGGAGAATAAGCGCCCATCAAAAGAATTGCAGATCACTATCTCCCAGCAGCTGGGGTTGGAGCTGAGCACCGTCAGCAACTTCTTCATGAATGCGAGGAGGAGGAGTCTGGATAAATGGCAGGACGAGGGCAATTCCAATTCAGGCAACTCATCTTCTTCATCAAGCACTTGTACCAAAGCATGAAGGAATCACCACAAACTCAAACCTCGGTGGAAAAGCTTTAAATTAAAAAAAAAAAAGAAATGTTTTTTTAATGACCAGGACCTCAAGATAGCAGGTTTATTCTTAGAAATATTTGAAGAAAAAAAGTGTTATTTATAGTCCAAAGAAACCAAAGACTTAGCTAACCTGCATTCTGACTTTATTTGGAGACACGCACTTCAGCAGTGTGATGACTTAGCAAGAAAACTTATGAGCAGGATTACACCACTGGATATCACACCTTCAATCCATGATCATTCTCACTGTGCTCGGCTGTTTACCGGTGTGGAGCATAGTGATTCTTGATTCACAAAGTTCTGCTGCACCATGAAGGTGTAGTCTCAGTACTGTGTGTGGATGTGTGTGTGCACCTATGTATATACACAGGTCTGCACACCCCCCACACACCCCACCACCACCATCACCACCACCAGTGGTTAGGGACTCGGGCAGGGCTGGTCTTCAGGAAGAGTTGTGCTGTAAGAGTGCAACCAACATAGTATGGGGTTGTCTGAGTTTCTTGGATTAGGGGTGTGGTTTTGAGCAGTTAGCCTAGTGTTTGAACCTGCTAGGCCCACAACCTAAATGCAGATTCAAACCCAGCAAAGAAAATTTGAATGACACCTAAACCAGTGCATTCTCTTTGTTTGTTAAGAAATGTTCAGATATTTTTTAAGAAATTAAACAAGAGTCCATCCGTTCAGAAAAAAAAAATTACCTAGGTACCAAAGAACACAGTGTTATAGTGCAGGTATTTTATTGCAATGATTTTAATAACCAAAGCTATTTTTACACAAGATACTATATAAAGTTATACATATGAACTTATCTCGCTAATGATACACATGCCATGTAGAATCCTGACTCTTACTTATGACTCTTGAAGCATTTTGAAATATTAGTTTTCAGAACTGGCAAGAAAGAATGTAGCTTCAGGGAAGCAATTAATATCAAAACACAGAGGTCGATGCAGTATGCTTGTACATCCAGATGGCATACTCTCTTTCAGGATGCATAAATGTCACTTAAGAAGACATATGAGACACGGTTCCATAACCTATTCTTAGCTGAGAAGACCTAGGTATTCTTCCAAAATTGGATCCTGTTTGTAAACCAGGAAACTAATTCATCTGGGATGTTGACTCAATTAGAAAATTTGTTGAAAGTACTGTTTTACAGTAAAATGCCACTAGGTTAATTTGATGTAAAGTTTACTTTATGTGTGCATTTGGGACCAATTACTTCTTTAAAATTCATTACAAACACACAAAGTTGAACAGATCAACAACATTATTATCCAAATTTTGTCATCAGCCTGAAAAAGCAATCAAATTTACTTTGTTGCCGATCCCAGACATTTGTACAATTTGGACATCAATCAAAATAGCAGGTGAAATTTAGAAATGGCAGGATTGGTGGAAGAGAATAGAAAGTCAGAGTTCTAATGGAAGACAGACGTACGACAGGGATTAAGCTTTTTGTATCACCACATGGAGCCTCAATAGCATACTGCATTCTTTCTTGCTGCAGCATTAATCTGGAAGTTTTATGATGGAGTCTATTTCCCAACAAGAACTGATGAAAGACTAGACTAGAGCTTCCAAACAAAAATCTTCATTTCTCTTTCTCTAGTCATTCAATCACAGCTTTAGAGATGAACTTCAGAACACACAGTTGTACTAGTGATACCCAAGTGAATCACTTGATTCCCAGAAAATTTCTCTCAGAATACAGTTAAATTGAACTCATGCCTTTTGTACTATTGGGTCAATAATTGGGCTCCCTTGGTTAGTTGCCACATGTAACTAGAAACATAAAATTAAATGCCATCTCAACAATAAGTTGTTTGCTGAGATTCACTGAAACACTAAAGGAAACAATTAAACCTCTTATATCATAAAAAAAAAATTTAGGACCAAATCTCAGCATCTTATATCAGTCTAGAAAAGACAAAACATGAAAAAGGAAACTAAACAATAAGAAAACTGAACACTAAAGAAGAAACTAAACAACAAACCAACCACTTGCATCTCCTTCATAGCTGCTGTAAATAATAAAAGGAAGCCAAATTCCCACTTCTCCTTTGATGAAATAGCACGTTTGTCTTGGCATATTTTATATTCATATTTTTTTCACCCCAGATTCTAGCTTAAAATTTATCTTCTAAATACGGCACAAGTATAGTTGAGCTGTTAAGGGAAGACCATTTAAATGGCTGTCCTGGGAGATTTTATAAAAATATGATCTTGATACAAACAAAAAAAATTGAAAATTATTAACTCTTCTCTCCAGAATTGGAGAGGGTTATGGATACAGCTACATAATGTATTTATAGTTCAGGGGAATGTGAACCTTATTTACTTAAAGCGTGACAATTTTAAATGCAGGGAAATTCAAGTTGTGTCTACACACAGTTGTACCAGATTCTATACCCCAAGAAAAGCAAAAGTTGAATTCAGACAACCATGGTTTGTTTCTATTCGCTTTTGTTTTTATTATCTGTATTATCCCTCAAATTTATCCAGCTCTATTTTATATTTTTAGCTAGTTATTTTGGTACTGGATTGACATCATCTCAAAGAACGTTACCACATTCTAAATACCCCAAACCATAGTGGCTTTTGGAAAAATAACCAGTGACCCTATTTGCTAACACCAAAGATAATTTTTATACCAGCATTGAATTTGTACCATTGTACAATTTCAGGGCCTAGAGATATATTTTCTCACAGACAGATGCACAAAATAGAGCCTGAAAAGGAAGTTTTTTACTTGCCTGTTTTCAGCATCCTTACAACCTTTGCTTTTTTAGAATTATTACAGACAAGCTCCACTTCTCAACAAGCAATATGTTTATTAGCACTGTCCTCCCATTTTTCATCGATTTGCTCGAGCGGGCCCAGTAACGCCTCCATCATGAGACTTGTTGTTACTGTATTTGGCATATGGAATACGTCACGGGTAGCCTGCGAGGCTTTGCCATGAGGGCGAGATACTCTCAGTGGCTTGCCGGGCTCTCCGAGAGGGGCGGAGGAATTGAACCCAGCTTGGCCGGCCAGCTGCACACAAGGCAAACGCCCTACCGCTGTGCTATCGCTCCATCATCTGAAAACATTCCTTTTTTTTTGCTTCTGAGTTGGCACCTAAAGAGGAAGATACTTCCATTCCCATTTAGTATAGCATTAATTTACACCTCAGTTTTCTTAACCTGCCACATTAAATGGGGCATATCATATACCTTTGTTCACCTCCCAGTTCTCAAATCTTGAGGAAAATTCACCTAAAAATATATCATACTCTTTTATTCATGTCTTTTTTATGCCAAAACTGCACTTCAAATGAGCTTTTTTTTTTTTTTGAATGGAAGTTAAGATTCTTTTGGCCCTAACTCAGTCACGTTCTCTAATGTCCAGAAGCTTCCCTGAAAAGTGGCCAAAGGAGAGAGTGGGAGATAGTGTCTGGAGGGTACAAAAGTCCAGATGCTATTTGATGTTCAGGTCAAAGGATTCTGGATGTGAGGAACTGTGGACCCCAGTCCCTGGATGTACCTCTAATAAATCCCATACTCAAAAATAACGTGTGGGTAGATTCAGAAGTTCTAACCGAATATGTCACTCATTTCCCCCCAAAAAAAATCGTAATTAAGTTTCTAGGAAGAAATTAATAAAAGCACTATGCTACTTTTGGACTCATGCTACTCCCTTTGCTATCCCAGGTGAACAACCTGTCTCTGCAGGTTAAATGTAAACTTTGCTATACCAAAGAGTCCTAGGACATTTTCACAGGAGCTATAAAGGCATTTTCCCTAAGAAAGGGCCTCCCTTCTTTGTACATAAAGGATGAAAACTATGCATTTAGCAAACAAAGAGAAAGCACTACTCCATTTCCTATCTAGTAGTTTAGGGTGCATTCAAACCCCAGGGGGTTGGCAGGCCATTTTGAAACAGCTTGGCCTTCTGGATTATTACTGTGGTGTGGTTAGCTTTACAGTACAATTTGTAACTATTTCCTAAATAGTTAAGACAGAGAAGCAAAGGTAAGAATTAGCAACTTCCATGTGTTAAAAAAAAAAAAAGAAAAAGAAGAAAAAAAGGGAAAAAAAGAAAAAAGGAAAAAAAAAGTGTAAAGATCTACTATTTATAGTGTGAACCAAAGACGCTACCTCACTCGATTCCATTGGTGATTTTAATCACATTGATGATACCAAAGAATACCAAAGATATTTTCGTGCACGGCCTGGTCTGCGGAGGGAACTCACCCCTTCCTCTCCCACACACACCTCCTCCCCTCCCCTTCTCACTGTTCACTCCGTGTGTAAACTTGTCTTCATTCTTAATGATAATGGTACAATAACAACAACATTAGGAAATACTCTCTTCCTACTGCTAGTTCTTGTAAATCTCTAGGCAAACATGTCGCAAACTTTATAAACTCCTAGGACGAGTGCCTTGCTTGAACCAAAGTGTTAAACCGCTGTTGACCTCTCTCTCCTTATACTCTGAATACCTCAGCCTCTTAGAAAGGCCACTAATGAAAAAAAAAAGGAATAATTATTCACCGTGGTGCTTTTTCCGTGCAACCATGCAATGAAACTTTCTTTGATACCAAAGGATGACGTTTCCCCCTCCCCCAATTTCTTGCTGATAAACCAAAGCTTCTCCTCTTTCCTCTCGAGGTGTTCCCAATTTCACCGAGCCCCTACCCCAGGCAGGCCGTGCACCACTTGTACCAATTCCTCCAAATACCTCATAGTAATAAAGTTTTAGGCTTATGTTGTATAGAGAGTCTATGTGATAAGGCAGAACTTACTAGTTTGATAACTGTTAAGGTTACTTTTAAAAGAAACTTTATAATTCTTATTATTTATTTTGTAGATTGTATGTTCGAGGTGTTTCCCCCCGCCCCCCAGATGCCCCCCTCCCCTCCACTTTGGTTTGGGCTTTATTTTCTTAACGGAACTGCTCTGTTGCTCAAGGAAGACTTAATTTCTGGAAGTATTCCCCCAGGCGGGTTAAAGGTTGTTACAAAATGAAAGAACTGAATAAGAAGTTTTGTTTTGATGATTACTAATGAAGTTTTTGAGTTTCATAGTAAATTTGTTTCCACAGGGTAAATATAAATATGAATATATGTGTAATCTCTTTTGTTTTGTGAAACTGGTTCTTGTTTTTCTCTGTAATGTGCTGTGATTCTTTTTAATTTAATTCTATTTTATATGAACTTATTTAATCACCACTCTAATTTATGACTGTGTGGGTTTCTTCTTTTTAATGTATATAGTAGAACTTAAATGGCCAAAGTTTTCTGTTGCAATCTGTTCTTGATGCTAAGACAAGCTGAAGGCAAGAGCTTCTCTCTAACTGCAGGCTGTATCTTCCGCTTTTTCTTAAAGGCACTTCAATGTGTGTTGTAAACACTGCCAGGTTCCCCATCCCAAAACTTGTACACGCCAAAATGAGTGTCTCAAAGTGGTCCTTTTTGTTATTTAGGAGAAAAGGCATTGCGTTTGTTCTTTCTTTAACTTATTAAATTTCCTAGAAAATATTGCTTTGCAGGTTAAGACCTGAAATTCCAGAGAGTTAGAGACTTGTTTGATGTGTGTGAATGCATGGGCATTTGTGAAATCCTTCCCTATTTTCTGTTTGTTTGTTTGTTTAAGCATTCACACAGGTCTGAGAAGTAAAGAGTGTTAAAATCTCCAAAGAAACATGCTGGCTTAGGTTTGAAAATCCTTCCCCAAGTTTCAGAACTGCTCCAAGCAAGGGCAGAGCATGAAGGTGGGTTCTTTTGCAGAACTGACAAGACAGTAAAGTGATGTCTTTTGCCTTCACAGACTTCGAGACAGAGAGGAGCTGGCCTGGTCCCTTTTTGTCTAAGCAACCCAAGATATGATTGCTCAGCGCCCAGTTTAAGGGAAATGCCTCAGAGTTACATATCCTTCCCTATCACGGGAGAGTAGGATGTTTTTCAAATCTCCTGCTCACAATTACCCCCTTCCACCTCACTCACCTTCCCAGATTAGATGATCTGCAAGTATCAAAACGTCTCCACAGTGTATGTGCTCCAGATCTTTTTGGATTGGATCGGATGCTTTTAATCCTTCCTCTTCCCACTCCTTATCTTGTCCTCCCACTCCTTATTTTTCCTTGTACCCTCTTGTGGAGGCTGCTAGAACAGGCTCGCGTTAGCGAATGTGGGCGTGTCTGCACGCGCGC